AACCACTCCTTTGTAAGGCTGGGAAGAACTGGTGTGCAGTAAAGGCAAAATCAGACTAAGGATGCCAGGGAGAGTGATGCAGCAAAGGCAGGCTCAGGGTGAACAGATAAAATCACAGAAAATAATTAAGTGGAGATCAAATTTCTAGCCTATGGCTGCAAGTTTTCCCCATTTTTACTTTGTTGCAGATAGACAAGTTTTTGCTGCTTTCAGTTCTCTAACATAAGATGGAAGCAATACCATGGCCCTTCCTTGCAGGAAAGCTTTACTCATTATAGCATGTAGGAATAGTCAGGTGTACAGATACATCCTACAGGATTTTTTCCTGGGAGAATGGCTTGAAAACCAGAAAAAAACCATTGTTCTTAGGTGTTCTGTAAATAAGACTACAACTGTTTTCCCTTAATTTTTTTTAGCATCATGTAGAACAAAATTTCCCTTTATTTCATGCTTGGAAGATCAAGAATCAAATAACAACACTCAAGTGTAACACAGGGCTTGGTCCATATAAATTAATTTCTCCTCCTGGCTAGCTGTTGATATGAAAATATTTATTTCACCTTTGTTCAGTGCTTCCTAATATATTTTAATTATTTAAAGTATTTTCTCTTATTCAGATTTACATATTTCCTTTAAGATGTACATTAATAAACTGACCCATCTGTACCTGTGTGCAAGCAGCACCCAAAAGAATATCACAGATTATTTACTGACACACCTATGAGAACTGCAGGCAAATCCATATTGCTCCATCAAAAAAGTTTTCTATTTTCTGAACCCCACTCCAAAATAATTGCAGGCTCTTCTCAAACGTCCTTCTGCAGTGTCCTACAGCTCCACCACACAGAGCAGGGCATTGACAAGGCAATCACACCTAAGGGGAGCATTTATCTAAACTCTGAAATCCTCAGAACTAACACATGCTCTGGAAATTTGATTTTCTCCATAATAGTAGTATAGGTAGATTGACAGAACCAACAGCGTGTTAATAAACCAGATGGACCTTTAAATATCCAACACACAAAAAGCAGCCTGTGGACATGTCCTGCAGATAAAACCCCTCAGAGTGTTATTTCCAAGCTGGGAGTGGGATATAAATTCTCAAACAGAGGTCTGAAGATGTCATATGTGAATAATCTATGAAGGACTGACTCAGCCTTCCTGACAATAACAGATTCAAAGGCAGAAATATCCTCAAAATCACATTGGAGGTTTTCAGGAAAGAGTTGAGGAGTAAAGATTGAGAACACTTGCATTCTTCCTTCCTCTTGTGAATGTATTATAGATGAATGTCAGCCTCCAGCAAATCAATCACAGCACCATTCACAGGATTTAGATTGATATAAGAACAGCTAAAAGTTATTTTTAAAGGGCAATGTGGAGTCAAACTCGGTAGGTTATATCACAAAAAATAAAGGCAAAAATGAAACGCCTGTGCCACAAGAGAAAGTATTTCTGCTTGCTGAGACTTCACCTTTCTTTTGGCAATAGGACAAAATAGATCAAAGAATATCTAAGTTTATATTAATCCTATTAGGTTGCATGAAAGCATCCTGGTTGTTATCTCTAGATTGTTAACAATGCTGAGTTCATGATCATTACTTTTATAAACAACCACATTTAATTTATTTATCATGAGCACTGGGGGACATAGAAATGTCTTAATGCTGAAAGTGACTTTGGATTTGGTGTATCTGCATTTCAGATGAATGAAAATACAATTAATCTTATTTTAAATATCCTTCTGTATTATTCTGAAGATGTTCTTGCAGCCCACGCTCCATCTCAATAACTCAAGACCAAGTACAGATATTGCCTTGCAGTCACATCCCTAGATGTTCCCCAACTCACCATCCCCTGAACAGAAGAGGAAACACTAGAATAATTACTGTACAATAATTGTTTTTCATCTTCACAGTTGGGAAGGACTATAATAAAAACTGGAGAACTGCAGAGCAGAACCTGTCAGGTTGATGGGATAAGGGATAAATCTTTTCCTGCCCAAAGAAAGCTCTGCAGAGCAGAGCTTTGGTAGGAAAGTGTGAGAAAAATCCACTTCAGACTCCTCTCAGCAACTGCTCAGCCCCATCTGAGGCAGGCTGGGAGGTGAAGGGTCAGCATGCAAGGGGAAAGGGAGGCAGGAGAGCAGGGTCACACCCACCAGGGAGGCCAGGGGAAGGCATCCCACCAGGATTGACATTGGCCAGGATCCCCTGCACATCTCACTGCTGGGCAGGGGCTGCTCAGTCCCAAACCTGTGCTTGCCTGAAGGCCTTCAGCAACTGGACAGAGCGTGGCATCCCACTAAGGGGGAATTAATGAGAGAAATAAACCCCACACAACCAAAGGGGTGAACACCTAACCAGACACCAGCAAAGAGAACACCTTTGGTCTCAGCTGAATGAATAAAACACACTGAGGAGGGAAAAAAACACCTCATTCTTGTGTATTAAGGGTGCCACAAGCAGCTCACAATAGGTTACTCGTGTTATTCTTTTGATCTCCCTCTGAGGGAACGGGACCCACTTCTGGAAATGGTATTTTGAGAGAATTTCACAAATGAGGCAGTGTGCAGAACAGACTGAAAGAAAAGGGGAGAGGTTGGGAGAATTGAAGCTTGAAATAACTGGATTTATTGAGTTAGCCTAAGAACAGTCTGAATGGTTCTACAGGGGAAGAATTCTGAGCCTGTCAGAGTTAATAAAAAGCTAAAATTCTCCCCAAGACTCCCTCCCCCTTAGTCCCCCTGCCCTTCTGCTTTTCATACACACATCTGTAAGTCAATGAAATGGACTCATTATAGGAAATAATTTTATCACTTAGATGTGGCATGTAAATATTGCACTCTCTGCAAACATGTGTAATAGGCTATGATGCAATTAAAGAAATCAGAGTGAAAATTTATAAAAAATCTCTAGCAATTTTATGTACAGATGCATTTGCTGGAAAAAGCATTATTCACTGAATGCAGTTAAAGTGCAGTAAATCGACTTTGAGAAAAATCACAAGACTTTTCAATAAAAAGACAAAATAGCAACACTGCTAAGACAGCAGGTGGTAAAACGAGATACAGGAATGTTCCCCCACATAAAGAAATAAAACAAAACAAAGCTGTGTGATTTTACTGCTCTTTTCCAGCAGAAAAACATCCCTAAAGGACTCAGAAAATAGGCTCCTAAATTTGTTCATATGGAGTACCAGAGATTGAAAGGCAAACTTTGAAATACATTACCCAGAAAAAACAGAGAAGGGATAGTGCTTAGCGTTAAAGAATGGATTTTTTGTTTGCTTGTTTGAGCTTGTCAATGCAATTTGGGGCCAAGCCACGACACAGTTGGGGGACCACCAGCTGATACAGGATATTTAATTAAATCCAGTAGTTTGCATCTGGAGCAATTTGCCCCTGAATACTTAGTGGGCATCTTTCGAAAGCATTAAGAACCTATCAGTGGGACACAGAAACCCAAGTATTATGAAAGGGGGAACTATGGTGTTTTTAAAATAACACCCATGGGAAAGACTTCAAGAGCCTCTTGTGAAAACTGGAGGTAAAAGCTTAAATATCCAGGGAGGTAATGAATGCCTGCTGGAGCTCTCTGCAAGGCAGAACCCCGTTTTCATACGTGATTCCAATTGCTGCTGTTAGCAGAAGAGTGTGGCAGGATGAAGGAGCAGCTGGCACTTCTGCCAGCAACAGGTAAGGCAGTGTGGGCTCAGGGGGAAATTTGTTCATCTGTGCTGGTGCCTTGCAGCAAACACAAATTCACTGAGATGGAAGGGAGTGAGGAGTACTCCAGGTGAGTGCAGAACCTGCAGGTGAGTGTCCCACATCAGCATGTCACCATTCAGAGCAGGGCCCAGCTCAGACAGGCAGCAAAGTTCCCTGCAAGGTGCCCACACTATTCCATGGGTGCCCTGAATGACAGGGAAGGGATGGCACCCCTGTACCCGGCACTGGTGAGGTCACACCTTGACTCCTGAGTGCAGTTCTGGGCACCTCACTGCAAGATAGACATTGAGGGGCTGGAGACTCAGTCCTGTGAGGAGCAGCTGGAGCTGTTTATCCTGGAGAAGAGGAGGCTCAGGGGAGACCTTCTCCCTCTCCACAACTCCCTGACAGGAGGGGGCAGCCAGGTGGGGTCTGGCTCTGCTCCCAGGGAACAGGGACAGGACAAGAAGAAACAGCCTCAAGCTGTGCCAGGGGAGGGTCAGGTTGGACATCAGGAGGAATTTCTTCACAGAAGGGGTGGTCAGGCATTGTCAGGGGCTGCCCACAGAGGTGGTGGAGTCCCCATCCCTGGAGGTGTCCAAGAAATGACTGCAGATGGCACTCAGTGCTCTGGGCTGGGTGATGAGGTGGTGAGTGGTCAAAGGTTTGACTCAATGGTCTTGGAGGTCTTTTCCAACCTTACGGATTCTGTGATTCTGTAAATCCTCTCCTCTGCACCCAGATCTGCTTGTCTATGCAAGCAAAGCCTCACTAAATCAAAATTCCTTTATTCTGGACTAGATTACTGCTTCACAGCACAGGCAGCCCAGAATGTGAGAAGTGTGTTAAACCCAGAAACTGAGCAAATACCTCCACAAGCATTAAAGACAGGGCAGGCATTCCTACAATAGTTACCAGCAGGCCTTGTTCATCACGGAAGGGAGGGCAGGATGGAGACCTGGAGCCTCCTCCACCCTCGTGTGGGGATGTTCAGTCTCCAGCTCCACATCCCACTGTGCTCCAGCACTGCAGAGGCATCTGAAGTGATGCTGAGAGGGTAATAACACCAACAGTGCCAGCAGCAATCCTCCCTGGAGGTTAGCAGCAGGAGGCAAGGAGGCTGAAGCTTTCATGAAAGGAGACTGAAAAGCAGAACCAACAGCTGAGTTGGCCTTTTAGTCAGTGCTTGCTTTCGGCAGCTCCATTATCAGAGGAGAACGAGAGAGGAGTGAGGGAAGCCTGGGGAGGAAGGAGACGAGGGGAATGTGAAAAGACAAGACAAAACACCCACCTGACAGGTGCTCCCCGGGACTGAGCAGGCTTCAGCATGACTGTGATGGTGGTGTCAGTCTCATTGAGGGGAGAGTCCGTGTCGTACTCCGGCATGGACGGTGCTGCAGCAGAACAGAGCAACACGTTCACTATGCACCAGCCACTGCCTTTGGTAGTGATGGCAACATTACATTAACATTTCTCAAACGAAATACCAAAATGCTTCCCGGTGTTATGACCAGAATGATCAAAACTGCTGAAATATTTGCTCACTCTTTTTCCATTCCAATTAAACGGGAATTGGACAATCTTCAAGCTGGATTTGAAAATCCTGTCTTGAATTTTTAAGACTTACTAAGCTCTTGAGATGGGATCATTCCTTCAGTGTTAAAGGTGAGGAAAGAAAACTGCATAGACATTATAAAAAACCTCGAACTATTAGGATGAGTGAATCAATGGCAGAGCTAAGAAAAGCATCCTTGAATCCGGAATCTTTTTCCTTGCTCTGGTCAGTGGATTAGCCCTCTCACATTTTAAGATATTTCAAAGCACAAACTTAATCTGTGTCCCCTTGATTAGCTGGAGGGTTTGCTAGGAGACACAAAAGATGAAAAGAGAGGAGCACAAATTAGCCAGGTTATTTTTGCACCCAAACCCAGGACATTTTACCCTGGTGCTTAAGAGCTGCTGACTCAACAGGCACCTGCAGAGATCCCAGTGCCACCCTGGGGCAGTGCCCAGCCATGGCAGCCCCCATCTCTGATGTGTTCCCCCAGGCAATACAGAAACCCACAGAGTAAAAACCCACTCAGCCAAACTCTAGTTTCTCCTTTTGCTTTGTTATCTTCTCTTAGGACCATTCCGTGAAAGCAGGACAGCTTTCCTTAGGAAATATATTTCACTTATTACTTCTTCCCTCCTCAGGACCAGGCACCTGTTTGGGACAAGTTTTACTGCTGAAGATCTGAAGAGGTCATGAGGTCACAGCAGCAGCAAATTTGTTCCAAAGATGCAGGTTTTGTTGAAAGAACTTTAAAGAATAAAGCAAACAGAAGAATTCACACAAATAGTTCATCTGTAGCTTACAAGGGCAAGCTGCATTGTGGGAGATCCCATATTTAATCCTCTCATAGTGATTTTCACGGTAATCCTGTTTACAATCAGGATTTTTATCTAAATGCCTGAAAACTGTCAAGAATGGGGGCTGCTATTATCAGCTCAGCTCCTGGCTCCCCTGTCAATAAGCTGGGAATACGTTCAGAGTGAATGTCAACTGCTTAAGAAGGATTTCTCTGGAATAAGGTGCTCTCCATCAAGGGGAAGCAGTGACTCACTGAAAGGAGACACATCCCCAGTGGTCCTCCACACCAGAGATTACTGGAGATGCTGGAGATCACAGGTTTGGTTGGAAAGGATCTTAAAGATCATCCATTCCACTCTCTGCCATGGGCAGGGACACCTTCCCCTATCCCAGGCTGCTCCCAGCCCTGCCCAGCCTGGCCTTGGGCACTGCCAGGGATCCAGGGGCAGCCACAGCTGCTCTGGGCACCCTCACAGGGAACAATTCCTTCCTAACATCCAACCTAACCCTCCAGGTGAGCACCCCCAGCTCTCCCAGCCTGGCTCAGAGCATCCCAGCCCTTGGAGCATCTCCATGGCCTCCTCTGGACTCAATCCAACAGCTCCATGTCCTTCCTGTGCTGAGGACCCCAGAGCTGGAGGCAGAGCTCCAGGTGAGGTCTCACAAGGGCAGAGGAGAGGAAGAAAATCCCCTCCCTCGTCCTGCTGGCCACGATGGCACAGCAGGAATTGCTGAGCCCCTGCTCCAGCCAGAGGGGACAGTGCACAGCTTAGTGCACCACACCAACAAATACACTCACACAGTGCTACTGCACAGATGGCTTCCCATGTGGGAAAAAAAATTAAAATACAGCCTCACAAGGACATTCCTGTCAATGCAAAAACACTTCTTCTCCCTAATAACCTTGAGGCTGACTCTTAGAGCAAGTTTAATGGTAATTTTCAAATTATCTGGAAAATGTATCAAAACCTTGACCATGCAATGAGATAATCTAATGTTAGAGACTACTCTAATGCTTGCATGGAGTTTGTACCCACCTACTGAGAGCCAGATATTTGGAAGATGGGGGGCAAAAAAGTCAATAAACCAAGCTCAGTATGCATATAGCTGGCACTGAGGCTGCTAACACAATTTGAGCACTTTTGGGATGATAAAATGCAAAGAAACTGAATCTGAGGGGAAAATACCCCTAAACCATTGCTGTGGTTTTTTATTTCTCTGGTCTCAGGGGAATGGAGTGCTGTCCCTTCACTGCAGAAGCCCCAACAGCCCATGGAGCTGTTTGGAGATTTAATGGCTTTTACTTCAAGTGGTTCAGGGCTTTAGTGCTAAATGTGAAGGGTTCAAACCCCGAGTAGAGGGAGGGGATGTGCTTTGCTTCCTTAAAATTTACTCTGACACTTATGGCTCACAACTTGCTATTATTAACTGATTTTGAAATAGGGCAGTGGAAAATCTATATTGTAGTGCAATCTTTTCTACAATAACCAGCCATAATTTCAAGCATTACAGGTGTCCTGAATGTTCCAGACGTGTGTTTTGACTTTACTGAAAAAATAGTTAAAATAGTCCCAAAAATGACAGCTTTCCTCTCTGTTGGAGAACCTATTTTAGTGCTATCAACTAAATGTTAAAATCCACATATATCTGCCCAATATCACCACTACTATCCTTTTTTTTTTTTGATAACTGACCTGTTTCCCCCTTTTTTTTCACACCTTCTCTTTGCCATTGCCTCTCTATTTTAGTGCCTTTCATATTCTTGTCTGCCTCAAGCCCTTCCTCTGCTCTTACTCATAAAAAACCCCAAGAAAAATGGCTTTCCTCCCTTACTTTTAGTCTCTTTGCACTATTAATTCCATTACTGCATTACATCCATTCTGATACATCTTGAAAATAAAAACCACATTACAGAAGGAGCTTCCCCAGCCAGGCAGATAATGCTAACAGTAATTACTATAAGGATAGTTCATTTGTGGAACTAATGATGGTTCTCATTTAAAATGCTCCACAGATATCCACAGGTATTTAGGACACCCACAAATTAACCTCTGTATTTGTAACCCAAATAAACAAAGGTCTGTGGCTGTTTCCAAACTCTGCCCTGTGAAACTTGGAGAGATGTTAAGCTGAGTATTTTTTATAATTTTACGCATCAGCTTTGAGTCTAAAGCACAAAGCCCTAGGATTTTTTTTTTTTTTTTTCATCTCCAAAGCAGTACCTGAGATCTTAGTTGCAATCCGGGTGGTGATGGGTGGCCCAAAGCCCTTGACTGTGCTGGCTTTGATGGTGAATGAATAGGTGGTGCCTGGGTACAATCCTACAAAAAGGTGATGGGTTTCATTCCGCAGCTTGAAGACTTTCCCTCTCTGGCTGGACAGGTCGGCACTGGGATCCAGAGACCCAACAGCCTTGTAGGTGATCTGCAAATGGACAACAAGGACAGGAAGGTGATGAGGGGCATTCTGCACGTGGCCTCTCTCTGCTGCCCTGTTTTGTCACCTCTCCAGGCTGAACTGCACACACAAGGACAGGTATTAATTCAGGATTATTTCCCGGGAGCCGTTTTGTATTTGGGTGCTGTCAAACAAACATGACAATTTTTCCAAGGCTTCACTTAGGGAAAAACTAATTTCCTCTCTCCACTAAAGCCTCAGCATGTGCTGACTTACAACAAAAGATGCAAAGAATTGCTTTTGTTCCCAAGCTCAGAACTTGTGTAGTCAAACCAGAGCACACAGCACGACCAGCAGGATTTTCATGAGAATCGCCCATGCAAGCCCCCACAGCTTATGAAAACTCTCAGGGAAAACATGGATACGTTTCCTTTTGGCAAATCATCTCCTCAAAAGGCACTGAAAACAATGGCAGCCTTCTTCTGACAACAAAAGCTTTGGAAGCCTTTTCCTGTGCTACAGAGAATATGCTGAAATGAAATTATATATTTAAATGAAATAAATATCATCAGGTCTTTAGACAAAAGCCCTCCTCTCTGTGGAAACCAGCTTCTGCTGTTCTTTCCCTGCCCTCATTCTGAGCCTCAGAGTGCAGATTTACACGTGGTGAAGTGTCTGGTTTAAGCCAGGAGGGTTCCAGACCCGGAGGGATGTCCTGAGCACACCTGGAGCTGGTGCCAGCACACCTGGAAAACCTGCCTGAGCTCAGCACGCTCACCCATGGCAACCCTCCTGATACACAGACACTTCAAGGGAAACTCATGACTTATTTACCAGCCAATTCCTTCCCTGAGTTCCAAATTCAATCCCAAGGCAGCTCAGTTTCAACAGAGCTGTCAATATAATGTACCGTGCTCTGCTGCTCTCCTAACCTTTTTTGATATTATGGGATCCTCACTTATTTGTAATGAAACACTATGAATAAATCAATGTATGTTAATACATGAGGTCTTCAATTTTTTATTAAGGTCTCCACAATAATCTAATTCCCAGCCTTTCTGAAAGAGCCTTTGAAAATCTTTAAGTTGCTTGCTGTATGACAGGAGGAAAATGTTGCATTTTGAGGAAAAAATAAATATCCAGTGTTTAAAAAGGGAGGCTTTAATAATAACAGGATAAATAAGAGACCGAGACTGATGTTACTGACACCACACAAGGGTGAGAGCATGTGAATCCTGTTATTTGGACAGAGAAAAACAATTTAGACAGAGCTGACACCCAAGATAAGGCAGTGTAACAGAGAAGGGGAATGAATTGCACCAGCAACAAGAAAGAACAGAAGCAGAACTCTTAAAGGAATTATAATTAGACAGCTTGCAGGTGATTTCATTGAAAACCAGCTAATTTTTCCAGGAATTACAGCCTGGGTTTAAATTTTTATTACACCGCAGACACCTGAGAAAGTGAGACATCTGAGCATAAGGGTTCTTAAAACAAACAAAAAATTAAAAACAGGAGGAAAATCTCAACACCCATTGCTTTTCCCTCAGGGGATCAAGAACCAGCATGGCATGGGACAGTATTTCGTGAGTTCTTATTGCATCAAGGCGCTTCAAGGCAAGGGAATTAGGAGAAGACCACTGGAATTAAATTGAAAAACAAATACTTAAATCAAGAGACATTACCCTGTCCATGCCACAGCTAAAATCCAGAAAGAAAAATGCATTTAATTTAATGTTATGTAGGAATGAGCCAATGCAATCTTGTATGCTCTGTTGGCACATCAAGAGCTAGAGAAATAAAAATTCTATAAAACCACAAAGGAGGATCAGCAAAATAGGAATTGGGGAAAAAAGAAAAGAACTATCTTACACCTGGGGCACTGAACAGCACAGTCACAGGATGCCCAGGTTAGGCAGGGGTCTATGCTAAATCACTGGTATTTATTTTCAAGCACATTATACTGAAGGTTATAAATATAAATGCAAAATGAACTTGTCCTTGATCTCCATCCATATAAAAAAATGTATTCAGCTACATTCAGCAGTTCTAAAATCATTACAGAAACAGTTATTTTTCCTTATTAAAAAAACCTCAAAAAAACCTATCCCCTTAAGGCAGAAAGAGCTGGAAAAGCTTTCAAGAAGAAAAAAAACGCAAAAATCAAGAAAAAACCAATTCACTGATTTTAAAAACCAAACCGACCAACCCAGTCTTTATTTTTCTGTTAACTATAGCAGAGAATGAGTACAAGGGACCTTAAATCAACCTGGGTCAGCTCACAAGAAGCAGGGAAGGAGGAAACAGCACTTGAGAGAATGTCCCCAATTTGATATTGTAGTGTGGGTCAATTTTCAGAGCAACTGCTCACTCAAATCAGACTTCATGATCTCCCAAGACTCTTTTCAGGATATATAAACTCCAGCAGAGAGATGTGTGGCACAGGCAAATGTGAGTTGACTTTTTCTGTAGCAGTAGAGATGGACCCTGTTAAACCAGGTGGTGTGAGGACATTCAGAGGAAGCCACCCTTGTCCCCAAAGCAGAACATTTGACTTCACCACAGGAACAGCCCCTGGATGCAGCACAGAGAACAGAAACACAACCCTGCAAAGCTGTGCACGTGTCCAGTGTCACCCAGTCCAGCAGCAGAAATATTTATGGGCTGATAAGTGCAAATGGTGCAGATACAGCAACCAATTCCTGCTCTCATCAGGGCTGAGCTCTTCTCTGCTTCCCTCCAGGAGGGCTCTGAGTGACTGGAGTGGGCAGGAGTGAGCACACAGGCACTGCCAGGGAGCCCCTGGGCTGTGTGCCCACCTCTGGGAGGGCTGTCCTCACCACCACGAGCACCTGATGGTCTCCAGGCTGCCATTTATAAAACCAGGGCTCCTACACTCCTCTACACAAGCATTTCTGTGGCTGAGAAATCTGTGGATTTCTGTAATTGCTCAGTGCTGCTGGTGAAGCAGCCAAACCCCCAGTGAAGCAGATGAGGCAGCCCTGGAAACAGAGCTGTCCACTTGGAAAAGGAGGAAAACTCTTCCAGCTCAGGAAGAAAAAAACAAACAAACAAAACCAACTAACCAATAATTTTTCTTTTCCAAGTGATCTACCTGCTGTTTCTTAGCTCTAAGTGCTGCCCTGAGCATGGATCAGCAGCTGAGAGCTGTGTCTCAGCCTTATTCCTCTCCGGACCTGCAGGCACAGTGACAGCAGCTGCCACTCCAGCTGCAGCCACAGCTGTCCCTGCCAGCAGCGTGTCCTGGGGCTGGCCTGGCACATCCCTGCTCTGGGATTTCCCCGCTGGAATAACTCAGAAGTGTCACACACGTGGGTTTGTGTGCAGCCGTGGCCCTGGGTCACAGGGTGTCTCCTGCAGAAGCCAATGGATCATTTTTATGCTCATTTTCATGTGTCCTCCACCAAACCACAGCCGGGTAAAAGGAAGGCAGCAAGAAGTTTCCAGTCTTCTCAACTGATTTAAACTCAATTTTCTGGAGCAAGAGAAATTGCAGAGAATCAGAGAGTGAAAATTTTCAAGAAACCGTAGAAATTTCTGACTCTGGAGTAATTTATAAAAGCACGAAAACATGTCTGGAGAAGAAATATGGCACTTCTCTGGAACAAGAAGGATGCTGGAAAAAACACCTGTCTTGTGGTTTGTATGCTGAATATTTATCTTAATTTCTTGTTCCAAGTGTCAAAGCATTTCATTACAAAACAAACAAGAGATTCTAATCTAAAAAAATGAGATGACTCAATCGCCCAAAAGCAGCTATTCTAAATTATTTTTAAATAATCTATTTTAAAGACAAGCTGAGCCATCTAATACCTCTGTATTCTCAAAAAAAAAAAGAAACATTATTAATTTAAAAGTTCAAAAGCACAGACAGAAAGCAATCAGAAAACTAAAAAAAAAAAAATTAAAATTTAATTCTGTCTGAAAATATTGAAAATATTTCTTTGTATTGTGATGCAGAATAAATGCAAACACAAAGATAAGGAAATGTCTCACAAGACTGAAAATCTGTGGTTTTTAACCACTCTCCTGATCTCCCTGCAGGCACCATCCTAAGTGGAAAGTTGTCTTTGTTCTGAAAACTGCAATGTCTGTCTAGGGTTTCCATAGGGAATTGAGAGATTAGCATCAGCTCCAGGGGAACTTGATGGTCCCAAGGAAATTTTAGTGGTCAACACTGCTATGGATCTAAACACAGCAAAATCTGGCAAAGAAATACACATTAAAATAAAACCTAAATTTCCTTGGAACTTCCTTCACTGAGTTCATTAAATACTTCTCATACTGAAGCAATAAAAGCAGTAAATTTGAAAAAAATCAAAAAGCCAAATGGTGAAGGAACTCAGAAGAATAAAGAACAACCATTTTGCCACCAGCACAAGAGGAGCAGAACACGGAGCCCGGGGTTCTCCCAGCTGGGCAGGAGGGATGTGTTCAGCAGGATGTATTCAGCAGCTCCTCAGATGCTGAAATCCTCAGTTAACTGTGCAAAATTTGGCTACATGAGTCCAAATTCTTTGTAAAATATAAAACAGGCCAACAGTACAAGTTCAAGTCTACTGGAAACTATCAAAAAAGGCTTTATAATGTCCAGGTGTTCAGTGATGTATAATTGCTGTGATAGACTGGAGAATAAAATAAGATCAGCATAAAGGAGTAGGCTGGTGAGCAAGTGCACTCCTGGTTGTTATTTAAGCAACCTATTCCAGTGCACTCTAGTCCCCATTAACCAGGGGCACTCCCTCTTATTCCTCTGCTTTTTATCCACTTTAAAGCTTGGAATATTAACTCCTTGAAATCACTGAGCTATGGTAACAACCCCAGAGACGTAGATGTAATATTGAGAGCATAAGCACAGCTCTTCTCTCCTTCCCAGAGCCCAATTTAACACAATTTTCTGGGGAGATGTGAACACTTTGCTAACTGTCATCATCTGTGACTGCAGAACTTCTCTTACAAGGACATAAAACTTTCATGGGGAAGGGAGAGACGACAGCAGAGGTATT